AGAATTGATGTCTTTGAGCTGTGGTGTTGAGAATACCATGGACTGCTAGGAAAACAGATTTGTCTTGGAAAAGGTTAAACCAGGTGGCTCCTTGGAGGCAAGGATTCTGAGGCTCCGTCTAACATACTTTGGACATGTGTTGAGGCAAGACCGGGCCTTAGAGAGGGACATCATTCTTGGGAGGGTGGAGGGACGGCGCAGGATAGGAAGGCCCTCTATGAGGTGGATTGATTCAGTGACTGGGATAATTGGGATGGGAGTGTCTGGGACAGTGCGATTGGCACAGGACAGCAGAGTTTAGGGCTGTTGTACGTAGGGTCGCTATGAGTCACAAGCGACTCGATGGCACATAACAACAACAACAGCAACTTTAGAAATTATATTCTTGAGAGCAAATAATTTCACTTTAACAAGTAACTCAGCCAGACTTTATTTTCACTTTAAACATACTTGGTAAAAACTTTCTTTTACAATACAATTGTTTTTTCTTTTCATTACGTATAGAAATCAGTCAATAAGTAATGATAAAATGCATAAAAAATTACTTAGAAACACTGATTAGAACTAGATGAGATCTTAGAAAAGACTTCTCTCTAACTCATTTTTACAACTAGATCATGTCATTATAATACTTTATCTTCTTTAGACATCCATGGACATCTTCTGTTCAGGTCTTTTGATCATCATAATTCCATTTACTGCTCTACATTCTACATTCAGACTGTCTTTTGAGATATTTTTGTCTGCTTGTTTTCCTATTTTAATGAGTTTTCCCTTTTTCTTTCTTGGTTTGTATACAATAATTCACATACATTGTGTCTCATTCTTGTACACTGTATTTTATATATTACTCATTTACATTATATTTTATGTAATTATTTTGATGTACATCTTTTATCATTCAGTCTCTTCAAGTCCCCATTTAATCTTTCCTATTCCTTCACCCCCTACATCTGCCCACTAATCTGATATCCTAGTGATTTTCTGCTCTTTTTCCCCCCACTCTCCTCCTTTCCCTGTTCCCCTTTTGAACATTTATATAGATCTTGCTTGGTTGTCCTCCTATTTTCACAGTAGTGGGCTTAGGCAGCCGTCTCTATTTGTTCCTTAGTGCTACATAGTGTTCTATTGTGTGAATGTACCACAGTTTCTTAGTCTGTTCATTTATTGATGGCTATTTGGACTATGTCCATTTTGTTGCTATTATGAATAATGCTTTTGTGAACATGTTGTTATTGTTATATGCCCTCCAGTCATCTGTGACTCATAGAAATCCTATGTACAACAGCCCTAAACCCTGCTCTATCCTGTGCCAATCTTATTGTCTCTGCCACACCTATTCCCATTACTCTGATCACTGAATCAATCCATCTCATTGACGGTCTTCTCTTGTGCTGTCGCTCCACCCTCCCAAGCATTATATCCTTCTCCAAGGACTGGTCTCGCCTAGGTGTATATATCTCCATTCATGTCTCAGTTCTGATTTTCTTGGAGTATATTCCTAGCAGTGGAATAGCTGGGAATATGAGATTTCTATGTTTAGCTTTTTGAGAAAATACTAAACTTCTTTCCATTGCAGTTGTACCATTTTATAGTCCCACCAGCAGTGCATTGGAGTTCCAGTCTTTCTGCATCCTCTCCATTGTTTATTGTTTGCTGTATTGTTAAAATTTGCTTCTGTTGCTGGGGTGAGATGGTATCTCATTGTTGTTTTTATTTGCATCTCTCTGATTCCTATTGATTTTAAACATTTCCTTATTGTTTGCTAGCCATCTGAATATCCCTCTTTTTGAAGAGTCTTTTAATGTTGTTTTTTTCTGTTTTGTGATTGGGTTAGCAGTCTTTTCCTTGTAGGGGCCTTGTAGTATTCTGTAAACTTTAGTTATGAAACTCTTATCTGAAATGTCATTGCCATTTGTTTTTTCCCAGTCTGTGGGTTTTCTTTTTACCCTATTATAGAAAGTTTTTGATGCTGTATAAGGAACAGTGGTAACATGGGGATGGCCAAGTCTGACTTCTACCTTTTTCATAAAGGTAAACTGTCTCCATCAATTACATCATAGTACCAAACAAATAGTAACATGGTTAGACATGCCACCTCTATGCTTCTGCTCCTATTTCTATGTTTCTTTGGTTCCAGTGTTTGTTGTAGATTGATTTAGTCTTTTTTTAAAAAAATTATTATATTATTATTTGTGTGTGTGTGTGTACTGTCAAATCAGATTTGACCCTCCTTCCTCGGCAGAGCATCTAGTGGATTCGAACCATGTGCCTCTGGGATTGCAGTTGATTTAGTCTTTACTTGCAGTTGTGGGGTTTGTTAGGTAAATAGGTTGGGGGATGGGGAAGATAAAGAATATCACTTAGTTAAAGTCCAACTTTAGTAAATAGTACCCCCAAGCCAGACTAGTAGCAAGACTCAGTTCTTCAATTAGTTCAGACAGCTTCTCAGTCAACAAGTGAAAGTCTAGGTTCAGTGAAAATCTAGGTTCAGTTCAGCAGCACAAATAACCTTCTGGTTTCTTCCATCATCCAGCAGGCTTTGTCTCAAAGCAGTCACAAGTCACCTCTTCATTCAGTCATCAGAAGGAAAACCTTTAACTTTTGTTCCATCTCCAGAGTTCTTTCAAACTACATTTTGCCACAGTCTTTTCACATTTCCTTATTTATTTGAAAGTGCATAACTCAACCATGTCACATAAAAGCAATGTTAATATGACAGTACACAGTGTAATTTAGGATAAGGACACTAATCTTTGCTCTACCTTAATTATATAGTAGTGTTTTGGCAAGACATCTAACAAAAATATTAACATTCCTACCTAGAATGGGAATGATTTAACCTAAATTATAAAAGTTAACACAGAAAGGGAGAGAAGAAACCTGTAAATGGATAAAACATTCCATAAAAATACTATATTTTTGGTTGATCTAATATTTTAACTCTTTCAGCTATTTACTAATAGAAGAAAATGGAATTGAATATACTTGCAGTATGGAACAATCTAATTGTTCTTTAAGAGTCAATCATCATGGCAAAGAGTCAAAAACAGATGCTCAAGTGTTTGAGGTAGGTAGCAAACTGGGAAATTTTTTCAATTCTGGGAGAAAATAACATGCATCTTTGCAACTTTTTATGCTTAATAAATATTGGCTATACATAATATATTCAAGAATTTTTATATTTAATTACCTGTACTTTTCATGAGATGAATTCACATAGTGACTGCAACAATGGACTCAGGTATGTCAGAGATGATGAGGATGGTGTAAGAACAGAACACAGCTGTATTGATTTTACGGTCGCTATGAGATGTACTCGACAGCACGTTACAACATAACAATAATAACAAAGGTTGAGTCAGTCACTGGGGCATTGGGGTAGGTGTGTCAGAGACAATAAGGTCGACACAAGGTAGAGTAGGGTTTAGGGATCTTGTACATAGGGTCCCTGTGAGTCGCAAGCAACTCGACAGCACATCATAACAACAACAATAAATAAACATAAAGTGATTAACTTCCCTTAAAGTTATGAATAAATTGTTGTTGTTGTTATAATAAATTGTTGTTGTCGTTAAGTTCCCTGGAATCAGAACTTATTCATAACTGATCCTCCACCAGGTTTTCAGAGGCAATAAGTCTCATGGAAGGAGATTGCCCATTTCTCCCATGTAACAGCTGATGGATTAAAATCGTGTGCCTTAATAAAGTTAGGTGGTTGTTGTTGTTGTTGTTGATTGCCATTGAGTTTAGTACAACTCATAACAACCCCAAGAGCAAAATGCCAGAAGCCTTTCTGTTGTCATTTATCAAGGTTCATAGAGTTTTCAGAGGCATGTTGTATTTACATTGATTTCTGTTTCATCATTGTTGGTTCAATTCTGTAGATAACTTTAATAAAATTAAGGTAATGAAATATTTTTAAAAATCACTTAAAAACTATTTTCATAATTGTATGAATTGATAGCTCTTAAAATATAAAATTAATAATTTACTGAAAAATTAGTGTCTTTCCACACGAGTTTTTTAAAAAAAAATATTTAAGTATTTTGCAACATGTAGAGTGATTTTTTTCCCCTCTTCTAAAGCATCTAACCTGTATGGACTCCAGCAATCCTTCTTTTGGAGAAAATGGCTTGTCTGCAGTTATGCCCATTACTACCCATGAAGAAGATAACTCACTCCCATCACAGAATATAGCAGGACCTCAGACACAGCCTCCTCCTGCAGAGCACTTCCATCTAGTGGACCAAAATGGGCAACCTATGCAATATGAACTGCAATCATTGGGGGGTTCCAATACAGAAATGGTAAATATAGGATTAACCAGTTTTATACTATTTAACAAAGATGTTTTGTTAGTATCTTTTTTATAAGGGGAGGGCTAGTGAGTAAGGAGTTGTGCTACCAACCCAAAGGCAGGTGGTTAAAATCTAACAGGTACTCTAAGGGAGAAAGATGAACATTCTCCTCTTGTGCTGTTTAAAACCCCTGAAAACTCACTGAAGGGTCAAATATGAGTGAATTCCAACTCAGTGGAAATGAGTTTGTTTGTTTTTTTTTATTATTAAATTTTATTAGTTTTAATGAACATTTACAGAGATTTTGGGTTTTCATTCATTCATTGTTGCACTGGGAAATGAGTTTTTTGAGTTGGTAGTTGTGGTTGAGTTAGTCTCACGATATTGGAAGTCATGGTTGAGGTAAGCCATTAGTACAACTCACTGTTTCCTTGAGTCTTTGATCTTGAGTCTTTGATCTTCTTCACTTATTTTTCTTGGATGAGAAAAGAGGCCATTGGTTGTATCTTAGGTGTTGTTGTTGTTTTTGTTGTTAAGAACCAACCTGTAGCTGATCCTCTCACAGGTTTTCAGAAGCAGTTTAATCATACAGGAAGGAAATTGATCATTCTTCTGTGGAGCAGCAAGTGACATTGAACCATGTGTCTTTGGGATTGCAGTGCAACTTCTTGCCACTAGGCTATCCACTCACAAACTCCAGGCACTATTCCCCAAAGTGGGATGTAGGACATTGTCTTTATAGACTTTGTTCTAGTTGATCTAAATGTCCCTTAGACTATGAAAAACACTGACTTGATCCCTCTAACTGTTCCATTGTGGCTATGAAGTTTTTATACCTTTGCGCCTATATATTCTGCTTTATTGTTAGGTGCCATAGAGTTAAGTTTGGCTCATAGCAAGCCTGTTTTCAACAGATCAAAATCTTGCCTGATCCTATGTCATTTTCATAATATCTGCTGTGTGTAAGGCCATTGTTGTAGTCACTATCCCAATCTATTTAGTTGAGGGTCTTCCTCTTTTTAGCTGACTTTCTGTTTCTAAGATGATATCCATCTCCAAAGATTTACCCCACCTAGCAACATACCTAAGTATGTGACATGAGTAGGAAATGTAACCTAATTAAATTCGGTCAGAGATTTATTCAGATTACTAAGTAATTAGATAGCATTGTGTGTCTAATGATTAATGTGGTGCTTGTTTCTAAACTATAGAATCATACTGCTAGGTCTGTAAGATTATACTGCCCAGTTTGAATCCATGCGGTCTTTAACTTGTATTGTGAGCCCTGAGAAAAATTTCATACGTATCTTAATGTGTTCATCTGTAAATAATTGGATATCGGAGAGTTGGACAGTGAGGAAGAGTGTTGAATATACCATGGACTGCTAGGAGAACAAACAGGTTTGTCCTGGAGAGGGTGAAGCTGGAATGCTCCTTGGTGTCAGGGATTCTGAAGCTTTGTCTGACATACTTTGGGCATATTGTAAGGAGGGACTGGTTCTTGGAAAGGGACATCATGTTTGGGAGAGTGGAGGGACAGCGCAGGAGAGGAAGGCGATCAGTGAGATGGATCCATTCTGTGAGTGGAGTGGTGGGAATGAGTGTATTTGAGACAGCGAGGTTGGCACAGGATAGAGCAGTGTTTAGGGATCTTGTATACAGGGTCGCTATGAGTCTCAAGCAACTCGATGGCACATAACAACAACAACACATGTTAGTATCCCCTATAAAGGAAACACTGTGTTTAAAAATTTACTTATCTAATAATAGTGTTAAATTACAATAAGCTTTTGCATTTAGTGAGTTTGTTTTGTATGTCTCCAAGATGATTGTAGCCAGCCCATCAGAAAATGGACATGTACTTCAAGTAATTCCATCAACCCAAACAGAAATGGCACAAGTGATTATACCTCAGGAACAGCTTGTGGATGTAAATAGTCCCCAGGGTAAGTAATAATGGCATATAAGGAATTTGAGAATGTTTTGAAGAATAAGTGTTTTATAAAAGTCACCTCATGAATGTTTGTGCTAAAATTATTTAGGTGAAATTATTACGATTTCTTGTCTCAAATGTATTTCAAGATTATTTTTTCAACTCCTGTTTAGGTTAGCTGTCTATTTCAATTTGGAATTCTATGAGGCTGGTTGATTCTTGCTTGTTCCCAAAGAACCAGTGAGCATAAAAGAAATTCTTATCAATTATAATTACAGTAATAATAATAGTAACTGTAACAAGAATGTACTTCTAACAGCTAAAGGAGAAAGTTACATTTATATTTTATAAATTTTTTTGCTGTTTTTAAAAAATTTTTATTTTGTATTGGTTTGCTTACAAATTTCATATACATTGTGTTCCACACTATACTTCATTCACATTGTACTTCATATCATCATTCCCATTCATTATATTTTATAAAATTAATCACCATTGATTTATACCCACCATTGCCTTGTCTTTCCAGATCCCTTCTGGATACTTCCTGTTTCTTTTATACCCCCTCCCTTCACCCACCAAATTGTATGACCCTATGATTTCCCTTCTGCCCATCCTCACCCCTCTGCTCCCACCCTCCTCTGCCTTGGATTCTCATACATGTTTTATTAGTTAGCTTTCTGTTTCTACAATAATAGCCTTATAGGGGGTCCTTCGGAGACTGAGTTAGTTCACTCAGCTCCTCAGTCCCTCTCAAGTTATTTATTATTTTTCTAAATCATTGCTCCCAAGTGCTATGTAGTATTCTGTTTTGTGAAAGTACCACAGTTTCTCAATCCATTTCATTGTGGTTAATATATTTGGGCAGTTGTGAACAATGGTGCTATGAACAATGGTATACAAATTTCCATTTGTGTCTCAGTTATAATTTCCTTGGGTTACATTCCTACCGTGAGAATAGCTGTGTCATATGGGATTTCTATGTTCATATTTTCATTAGCCATGTGATGCAATGCTTTTTAAAAAACCTTTTCCTCTTCTTGACTCTTCTTCCTTTCGATCCTTTAGTTTCAGAAAGGAGAATCATGCTTCCCATTTCCTTTTTATTTACTCTATTTTTTCTTTACCTGTTTGATGATAACAGTATGAATTTTCCTCTTCCTTTCCTTTTGCAGTGATTTCCTAACAAACTTATACCTTTTTTCAACCTACTCTCTGTTAGCTAATGATTTAGGGTAATACATTTATCCTAAGGTTCTGACTTTGTCTATGTTAACACCCGTGAAAATGAAAAACAAAAAAATAGCTTGCAGAAAACATTATAAACTTAGCATATAAACAAAAAGTATTAACTTTACATGAAGTTATTTGCAACACGTAACATAGCAATTATTTGTACATTTATATCCAAGCAGTTTAAGTTATAAAAGCTTAATTATGGCACTACTGGAGAGGACAAAATTGATGAATGGGGCCTTCTAAAAATCAGGTCCCTGTGTACATCAGAAACTTTTTTCAATAAGATGAAAAGAAACCTACAGGATGGAAAAAAAACATATGACAATGACATTTAAGACAGCAGTTTCATGATAGAATACTATAGGATCTCGACAAGAAAAAGACTGATAGCCCAATAACAAAATGGGCAAAAGACATGAAAAGACTTTTCACAAAGGAGGACATTCAGATGACTAACAAATACTTGAAGAAATGCTCAAAATTACTGCTAATCCAAAAGATGCAGATCAAACCACCAATAAGATAATCATTTTACCCCAGTAGCAATAGCAGAGTTTGACAGGACAGCAAGCAATAGTTGTTGGAGAGGATGTGGAGAGATAGGAACTGTCATGCACTGCTGGTAGGATTGTAAAATGGTACAGTTATTCTGGAAGGTAGGTTGATGTTTCCTCAATAATCTGGACATAGAAATTCCTTATGACCCAGCTATTTCATTGCTAGGAATATACCCCAGGGAAATTAGAACTGAGGCAAGGACAGAAATAGTGTACCTGTGTTCATAGCAGCGTTATTCACATTAGCAAGTAAATGGAAACGACCCAAATGCCCATCAACAAATAGATTGTGAAATTGTGATACATTCACAAAATGGAATAATAAGCAGCACTAAGGAGTAACAATTTTATAAAATACCATTTGACACAATAGTCTGGAGACAGGCTGAGTTAACTAATCCAGTCTTATAGCAACAAATACTGATAAAACCATTATTGTAAAAAATAGATGACTAGTAAGATGTTTATAAATGCCCAAAAGGGGAAGAAGCGAGGGAGTAGGGGTCAAAAAAGAAAAGGCTAGAAATCACTGGGATAGCAGAGTTTAGTGGGTGAATTGGGATGGGAGGAGGGTTAAGGAATAGGAAAGATTATTAGGGAGTTGAAAAGACAGGGTAATAATAAGCATAGATCAATGGTAATTAATTATATTAAATACAATGTATATGCATGAAACAGTGTAAATGAAAGATTGTATAAAACACAATGCATATTAATTAACTACAGTGTAAATTAATTACTGTGTGAAAACGAATAAAAATATTAAAACAAAAAATTAGGAAATTACAGTCAATAGTATTATAATTTAAAAGAAAGCAAATTTGTCAGATAAATTCTGGACCAAGTATAAGTTTTGTTATCTTTAGCTTCAGAACAGTTCTTCCTGTTCCCATTACAAATACTATGTTCTGGTTAGGCGCATGTTCCCATGATATTCAAGATGCCAATATTTTGTTCTTGTTGTGAAGATGTCTCTGAGGAGAAACCTGATGACAGAAACTTACCAACTGTAAGAGTGGATGCTTTGGTAGACAATGCCAGTAATTACATTCTTCATCCGCAAGCATCCTTCACATTACCAAAAAATACAGTGACCAGGTGAGTTAATCCAAAAGAAAGGGTCATCTTTTTTTTTTTTTCCTACCCTGAGTTTTTTGTTCTGTTGGTTTGTTTGTTTTTTTCTTTTTGTGTACTGTTGAGTCGAATCTGACTAGCACATCTGGAGATTGCCCCATCTTCTCCAGTGGAGCATCTGCTGGATTCAAACCTGTGTGCCTTCAGGATTGTAGCACAGCTTCTTGCCACTAGCTCCCTCAGGGTCATCTTTTGAAATTACCATGAAAATGTATTTTAAAAAGTAAAAAAAAAATAGCTTTTTCTTTCTTTCTTTCTTGTGTATCATCGAATTGGATCCAACTGACACAGGAGGAGATTGCTCCTTCTCTAGCACAGTATCTGGTGGTTTTGAACTGCATGCCTTCAGGATTGCAGTGCAGCTTCTTTGCCACTAGACCACCAGATCTCCCTGAAAAAAATAAAACAAAACACGAGTTTCTTTACAACTTCTGGAGCACTCATCAAATGAAACTTAACTGCTGTCAATTAGATTCCAGCTCCTACTGTTCCTCCAGAACTGAGTAGAACTAAACATTAGGATTTCTAAGGCTGCAAATTTTTATATGAACAGATTGTCTTGTTTTTCTCCTTGGTGCAACTAATGGATTCAAAATTGCCAGTATTGGGGCTTGTTCTTAGCACTGAATGTTATTAAATTATCTCTCAGTTTAATGGATATTACATAATACTTCATTAAAGATTTAAATTATATTGACTTGATTGCCACTACAGCTGAACAAGGGTGCTGTAGTGGTATAGTTCATATGGAGCTGTGTTGCTAAACTGAAAGTCTTACTTCTCTGGTCTTTTGAATCTATGAGTGCCTCCCTGGGAGGAGGACAGGCGTATCCTAATGTGAGTTACAGCCAGGAGATCCACTAGAGAGACAACTAGTCAGTTACAAAGAATGAGAGAAAGAGAGAGAAATGAACATTTGTCTTAATTATTTTTCCTTTTCTTATCTTTTTATGTTAAGTGTAGTCAGACAGTAGTTTTCCTTTTATAATACCTTATTTAGCTTAGCTCCATCCACACTGTAGTGTGTATCAAGACTTATTTCTCCTATGAACTGAGTTGTTGCTGTTGTTAATTGCCTTCAAGTTGAGCAAGACTCATAGCGACCCTATGAACAAAAGGCCTGAAGCCTTTATGTAACTATCGACATTTATCAGAATTCATAGAGTTTCTGGAGACATGTTGTTTAGGAAGTAGATGCCACTACTATTTGAGGAATGTGGTACATATAAGCAATGGAATACTGTATAGCCAGTGTAAACCTTTTTCTTTTTTATTTTAATTTTAATACTTCTACTTCTCTGTTGTTATTGTTGACTCATAGCTGACCTTCCAGCAGATTTTAAGAGGCTATAAATTGCCTGGGAGGAGATAGCTCATCTTTCTCCTGCAGAAGCAGCTGGTGGACATACACCATTTGTCTTTGAGTTGGCAGTGCAGCTTTGTATCCACTAGGCCATCAGAGCTTTGAAAGTCTTTTTTCAAAAATTACTGCCCAAATCTAGTTGTTGTTATTGTTGTTGAGTACCACAGAGTCAGAACCGACCCACAGCTGACACCTTCAGCAGGTTTTTAGTCAGAGACAGTTAATCTTGCCCATTTTAAGATTGCCTATCTTTATTCCGCAGAACGCTTGTGACTTGAACCACATACCACTAGGCCATCAGAGGGCAAATTTTTAGTTGACTCTAGAAAAAAGAGATGGTATACCAATTGACATATTTCAGTTAACAGATGCTGCCATGGACATGCTCACCAAGTTGTGCCAAGAAATCTGGAGAACGACCACTTGGCCAACTGACTGGAAGAGATCGATATTTGTTCCTATCCCAAAGAAA